GAGCTGCAAAGATATGCTTGAATTACTGATATCTTTTGCCAGAATTGGCTGTAGATCATGATAAGCTGCTTACTTATCAAAATCTATTTTATTTTCCTTTTGGTGAAGTAGTTTTTTTAATACAAACAATTTTGCCTAACAGGCTGGAGCAGTTCGTCTTCACCGTCCATATAGAAGGAAAAAGAGAGATAAGTTTATGATCGACACAGAAGTTGCTGCAAAGGTTTTGAAGAGAACGTTGTCGGATGACCCAGGATCTTCCACACCAACAGGTATACCTTATTCTGAGGTGTTATTTGATTGGGAGTAAGAGTTAAGAAATTTTTATATTTCAAGAAAAAATAAGTTGTGAATGATTAACTATGGTACATTGCTTTTCTTAAAGGGTTATATAAGACTTAACTATATGTATAGTTAAAAGGGAGTGCACGATATAAATCTTGTGATATAATCTTAAAAGAATATCTTTCTTTCTCAGTGACTTTACCAGTGTCTGGATTAGGGGAACTTACTGTGGTACCAGGTATTGTTCTTGGAGGAGGGACTCCAACCACTGCAGTACCTACCACACCCCAGGGGGCAACTGCTGCCCCTTCTTCAACTGGCAGCCCTTGTCCAGTTAGCCTTTCAAACCTGCCTTTGGACAAAGCTTGGGATCGTATGAATGAGGTACAGATAGTTCTGCATTCATTTCCTGTTGATATCAGTATCTCAGTATTTTGGATTGTATTTGATTCTGTAGAAGTCCACAATAATGACATAGTTAAATGAATATGTCAGTGTTTCTTTGAATATAAATTCTCTTATACAAGTGTTTTGTATCATATAAATGATACAGTTGGTATTATTCAGAAGTGACAACATTTGATTTCTAAAGGTGTGTAATGTAAGTGTCCAACCTTATATTATAAAATATTGGTAACGTAAATGAAACACACTTAGAGGAATACCATAATTAGTTATTTCTTTTCCATGGAATTCATTAGAAGGTGCAAAGATAGTACAGCAGTTGTCCATGACTGCCAGGTTGTACTTCCTGTGAACTTTAGGATTGATCTCAAAGTAGATAACATATTTACAAAGATTAGGCATGAAGGAAAGTTAAAGGAACGGATCTATGTTAACCCATTGCTAATGGGGAAAATGAATAAAAAATGGGGAAAATGCTGTGCTCATATTTTATATTTTTTGTGAAGTGTCTCTACACATAGATGGCTCTGTTTTACCTGACTTCACCTTTCCTTGAATTGGCGGGAAAATGTACTTTTCACTAGTGGTATGAATATTGATGGTGTTATTTTCATTATAAACATTATAATTAATATAATATTATAATCATTAGTAGTAGCAAAATAAGATAACATAAAATATTTTTGTAAATTAAAGAAAAGGGTAAACGGGCGAGACAGGCAGTACTCGTAATTGGCTCATTGGTGATTTAGTAGAAGTGTAGCCATCTATGTGTAAAAACAATCAAACAAGTAAACTCGCAGTGGGCATGGCATATATGTACATGCCATGCCCGTTGGGAAAGGGTTAATATGAAATAAATGATTTAAAAGTCTACGTTACACTGTGGGTAGGTTTATGAAATCTCCCTTGACAGCTTTCTCTCACAATGACAAAACTAACTGCGAACAGTCCAGTTTTTGGGGTGGCCAGCATGAACTAGAAATTTGTAGTGTGTACCATTTGTCAGGAAAGGAGGCTGATTTGGTGGTTTCCTCTCCTCAGGTTTTATTAGGTTTAGAGAGAAGTGTGTCAGGAGCTCGTGCTTTACTTGAAGAATTAAAAGATAGAACGGAACAAGAGACTTTGGAACTTCGAAGGAAACTTTTACAGGAGAAGGATGAAGCAGTCGCACAAGCAAAATTAGAAGCTCAATTATCAAACATGACTAAGTAAGTAATGTAACTTTTTTTTATTATGGTATTTCAAACATTGAACTTCATAGATGGTATGTCTAATGCTCCTTGATAAATGTAGTCTAAACCACAAACCCCTATTGACATCAGTCACCAGGCAGAAAGTTGGTGATTGAAACAATCTTGATGCTTTTTAGGAATGGGTTAATGGAGGAACTTAGAATATTGCTACTTTTGCACATCATACTGAAGCAAAATGTTTGAAGAAGAGATAAAAATTGAACTTTGATTCCTGTTATCTTCATGAAAATACATAGTTATGTGTTGTTAGTCAACAACCGTCACAAAGTATACTGCAAAGGGTCTTTTTTTATGAGCATATTTACAAAAAACTTATCAAACAAAAAATTGATAATCTATCCTCAACAGGCCATCAGAAGGATTCCTGGTTCAAGTGAGGGATGATGATGGGAATCAGTCATTGCAACCCATAATGCTAGATTCTTTGATATCCAATGTTCCTACATTAAAGCCGGCACCACCTATTAATGGGGTCAAGAAAAAGGTAAGAATAAAAAAGAGGATTGTCTGTAAACTAATCAATTTACAGAAAAATCTTTCTTTTCATCTTTAAC